AGTGAAACCAAGATGCCAACTGTGCACTTTTTAGCCCTACACAAAAGGAAGGAGTTTGCAAAGGGACTATCCAGTCAGCCTAGCCCTCCCATTTCATTTCAAGTCGCCACTGATGAAGTTGCTTGAACGAGCGACGCAACGTCTCAGATTACCAAATTAACAAATTCTGCTCCAGTTGCCATGATCCAACCTTTTAGGTACTTTTGGCCCGGATGATTGAGTCTGTTGACATGTTGCAATTCATTTTGGAGTGAAAAGCCTGAAGTTGATGTGGCAAGAGCTGGTACATTCCAATGACCCTCTGCCTATTTAATTTTTTATTCTGACTGATGAAATTGCTTGGATGAGCAACGAAACATCTCCGATTAACACATTCTGGCCCAGTTGCCATGATTCAACCTTTTAGATAATTTGGGCCTGGAGGATTGAGTCTACATGGACATACATACATAACTAGCCACGATTCTCCAGGAATTTATTTTCAGTTTCCCACGACTTCCTGGAGATGTTGAATCTAGGATCCCCTGCCTACAAAATGGATGTCACGCTGGCTTCACTATCATTATCATATCCCTATTTGTCCCGTTCAACAGCCATTCCGCTTTTTTTTTCTTCTCCTTGCTTTCCAATCATCGCCACCGCACTGACTCAGCCTCCTAGCTCTACAACTTCCTCCCATGACTAGGATCAGCCTGGGAGTTTCTGAAATTTCACGGCTTCAAATGCACCCAACATTCCACCTAGCCGGCTTCTGGAAATCCCCCCGGTCTCCCCTTCTTTTCCAAGCAACTTTTACCGTTCTGGTTCTTCCCCTTGTTCCAAGGTGCAGCTATTTCTTTTTTCTTTTTTTCCCCAACCTTGTTATGATGAAAGAGCCGGGAGAACTGACAAAATGAGTCAGCCTTCCTGGGTCTTCTTGGGAAAGATCTATTTTTCAAAGCTGAAAATAAGAGTTGGGTTCCTCCTGGCTCCGGTTCCATTTGCTCACGGCTGTGCGATTCACAATCTCACCATTGGTCGGAGACACACCACCGCCGCCGAGACTTACAGCTTTAGCAATTTCTAGGAGAAGGTGTAATGTGCCTGAAATCATAGGACGCAGAATAACAGGGTTGGAAGAGTCCTTGGGGGTCTTCTAGTGAGTCCAACCCCCTGCCCCAGGCAGGAGAGCCTATATCATGATGGACAAATGACTGTCCATCTCTTCTTGAAACCCTCCAGTGATGGAGCACCCGCAGCTTCTGGAGAGAAGCCGTTCCACTGATTAATTGTTCTCCCTGATTAATTGTTCTCCCTGATAAGTAAATTCTCCTTAGTTCCAGGTGGGATCCCACTTTGATAAACTTCCATCTTCTTGTCCTGCCTTCAGGTGCTTTGGGGAATAGGTTGACTCCCTCTTCCTTGTGGCAGCCCTTTTGATATTGGAAGACTGCTATCATGTCACCCCTCGTCCTTCTCTTTGTTAAACCAGGGGTAGGCAACCTTGGCTCTTTTATGACCTGTGGATTTCAACTCCCAGAATTCCTGAGCCAGCACGGCTCAGCTTGGAAACCTCTCCCTTTCCGCTCAGCATGGCTGGCTCAGGAATTCTGGGAGTTGAAGTCCACCAGTCATAAAGCGGCCTAGGCCAGAGGTAGGCAACCTTGGCTCTTTTATGACTCGTGGACTTCAACTCCCAGAATTCCTGAGCCAGCATGGGGGAACTATGGCCCCTTCATGACTTGTGGACTTCAACTCTCAGAATTCCTGAGCCAGCATGGGGGAACTATGGCCCCCTCATGACTGGTGGACTTCAACTCCCAGAATTCCTGAGCCAGCATGGCTCAGCTTGGAAACCTCTCCCTTTCCCCTCAGCATGGCTGGCTCAGGAATTCTGGGAGTTGAAGTCCACCAGTCATAAAAGAGCCAAAGTTGCCTACCCCTGAACTAGACGTATCTAATTCCTTCAATCATTCATCATATAATTTACCCTCCAGACCCCTGATTATCTTTGTTGCTCTCCTCTGCCCTCTTTCCTAGGGTCTTTCTTTCATGACCCCTTCTCTGTAGCTACTGCTGGTCATTTCAATTTAAATAATATTTAAAGAGTGGATAAGATCAAGGAATCAATATTGGGGGAGGGGGCAACTAAAATAAAGAGATCTAAGGAAAATGGGATTTTTACTCTGGGCGTGCCTCGTTTCCTGCCTTGATCACACTCCCTTTCCTTGTCCACCAAGATGTCCCAGTTGAAGATGGGATGAAGAAGTGGCATTTGATTCCCCCCCCCCCAAAGACTATGTGTGTTAAATACAGGAGTCCTCGACTTACGACAGTTGGTTTAGCGGCCGTTCAAAGTTACAACAGCACTGAAAAAAGTGACTTACAAACATTTTTCACAGTTACAACCTTTGCAGCATCCCCAAAGCCACGTGATCAAAATTCAGGCTCTTGGGAACTGGAACGGTTTCAGCGTCCCCCGGGTCACGTGATCCCCTTTTGCGACCTTCTGGCAAGCCAAGTCCATGGGGAAGCCAGATTCACTTAACAACCGGTTACTAACTTAACAGCTGCAGCGATCTGCTTAACAACGGTGGCAGAAAAGGTCGTAAAATGGGACAAAACGTTAACAAATGTCTCACTTACCAAACAGAAATGTTGGTCTCAATTGTGATCATAAGTGGAGGACAACCTGTACGCACACACACACGTGCAATTTGGGGCGTCTCGGGGAGAGCCTCGCGGCTGCCAGCTCTCTTTTACTCTGTCTGCATTTGTCCCTGCACGCAATTCCACTTGTAAACAGTCCCCAGCAACCCCACACAAGGTGCCATCATCATATTGCAATGCCTAATACAATACACGCCACAAGGCTTAAATATAGGTGGAGTGACCGTGCTAACTTCACTCAGTTAAATTAATGCCTATTAAATACAAAGAACAAAGTCGATTTATCCCCGTGCGAGCGACGCTTCTGACATTTCGCCCAAAGTCTGGCCCTCAGCTGAGAGGAGTGGAATGGCTTTAGATTTTGAGTTTCACAGCTCCTCTTCCTGGGGCTAAACCATGATCCCTGAACAAAAAGTAACGTTTCCCTGTCCAGTCGTGTCCGGCGTGGTGCTCATCTCCGTTTCTTACCCGTTTATCTACTCACATTTGCATGCTTTCGAACTGCTTGGAGCTGGAGCAAGGAACGGGAGCTCACCCGTGGCTGCAGTGCCCGGGTCTCGAACCCGTCAGTTTTCCAGCTGATAAACTCAGCGTCTTTAACCGCTGAGCCGTTGCGCGTCCCCTGAACACTCACCCCAAAATTGGTCCAACCCAGGTTCTGCTCAGACAGTGGTGTGTGAGGTACATTCAAAGAGATTGACAAAGAGGGAGCTGTTGCTGGATCAAGAACACCACCGTTGTTGGGTTTTTTTGAGGTCCGAAGGGGCATCTCTGGCTGGCTGGGCTCTGCTACATGTCAATTTGAAAAGGAAGATAGTTTTAAGTCCGCAGCCGACATGGAGGCGGGAAATCCACGGCAGCAACGCCTTGACTCATTCTTGCTGTCTTGTGAAATGGTCCTTGGGAAATCTTCCTGTCCCACAGAGCAGCTGAAGGCCTCTGGACTTCCTCTCGTCAGCTGCCACCAGGGCCATTGTCACTGCTATGGAGCCACTGGCCTTCGCAGCCAAGAACTGCTGGACCTTCCGAATCCAGTAGCCTCTGCGACTGGTCCATCCCTGGGTACCTCATGGACATCCGATTGGTCAGGCGCCCCGGGGGCATGGATAATGCCGGATGGTTCAGGCCCATCGGAAGCAACTGGAGAGGATGGGAGGGGACATGAGGGCTGGAAGGAGAAAAGGGGTACAGGGGTACGGTGTGGAAGGCAGGATCGGTCATGTTCTCCCGGAGGAGACCCTTGGAGGACCTTGGAAAGCCCATCGGCTGCTCTAGGGTGGATGAATGGGAACTTCTCTCCAATTCCACGCCGGGCAAGGGGGCAGAGGTCAAAGGTCCATTTGTCACGATAATGCTTTCTGGCCTCAGAGCGGCTGTGTTGGGAGAATGGCCTGCTCTGTGCGGCTTTGGGGTCTGGTCGGGGCTGGGAATGGTGGAGCAGGAGTCAGGGGAGGCATGCAGCACGTCTGAAGGGAGACAAAAGCACGGTTAGGAGGGCAATCTATTGATGAAATCGTTATAGATTACAATTTTATAGTTGAGGTAAAGCAGGGGGACTTTGAGACTTGTGGACCTCAACTCCCAGAATTCTCTTCTGAAGACTCGCTGGGGCATTCTGGGAGTTGAAGTCCACAGGTCCTAAAGTTACCAAGGTTGGACACCTCTGAGGTGGAAGAAGGATTTACCGTGCACTAAATAGGAATTAATTATGGAGCTACGCAATGCGTATCGTTCTTGGGCGCGAGTTATTTTGAGGAACATCAACATGGTCCATGTTTCTTCTTGACAACAGGATCTCACAGCTGTTCCCACCCATGGAACAGCTGGATTGATTCAGGAGGAAAATAAAACCTTTGCTTGTTCCTAAATTCTAAGGGTTCAATATACGGTGGTGGTGGTGGTGGTGGTGGTGGTTCCTCTACTTATAACCTCAATTGGGACTAGAATCTTGTTGCTAAGCAAGGTGGTTTTAAATGAGTTATGTCCAATTGTGAGATTTTTTTTTTTTTTTGCCTTAGTACTTAAGTGAATCATGCAATCATTACATAATTTGGCTTGTTGGAAGCTGGCTGGGAAAGTCACAAATGATCCCAGGATATTGCAACTGTCATAAATACAGGCCGGTTGCAAGCACCCGAATTTTGATCACATGACTGTGATGTTTGCAAGCACGAGGACTTTTTTCAGGGCTGTTGTAACTTTGAATGGTCACTAAATGGAATGTTGTAAGTTGAGAACTTTCTATATTTCCAACTCGACCGCGTCCAGGGCTGTCTTCCCTTCCCACCTGGTTTTGAATTGAGACCAAGCATGGCAGAAAACCCAGGATGCCTAATTGGGGGGAGGGGAGCTTACTCACGGGGGTGGGTCCGAACGCCAGGAGAGCTAGCAGCGCTGATTGTGGGGGACGATCCATCATGGCTGCTTTCGGGGTGCGGAATAGGCCGGGCAGCCTTTCCCCTCAGGATGTCGATCGCCTGGAGAGTAGAAAGATGAGATGAATAAAAACTTTATACTTTTTTTTTTTTAGAACAATAACTTTATTGTCCCTTTAAATGTACATTAATCAGCATACATTAAAAGATTTCGTTGCATACAGCTCTCAAAGGGTAACTACCTCCAATAGACACTGCATAAATACTACTACTACTACTACTACTACTACTAATAATAATAATAATAATAATAATAATAATAATAATAATAATACAGGTAGTCCTCGACTTACAATAGTTCACTTAGTGACTGTTCGATATTGCAAATGGCACTGAAAAAAGTGACATATGACCATTTTTCACGCTTACGACCATTGCAGCATCCCCGTGGTCACGTGATCAAAATTTAGATGGCAACTGACTCGTATTTATGACGGTTGCAGAGTCCCCTGGTGTCACGTGATCCCCTTGGGCAACTTTCTGATGAGCAAAGTCAATGGGGGAAGCCAGTGACTTGTTTAACAACCCTGTTTCGCTGAACAACTGCGGCAAGAAAACTCATAAAATGGGGCAAAACTTAACGTCTTGCTTAGCGACGGACATTTTGGGTTCCACTGTGGTTGTAAGTCGAGGACTACCTGTAACGAATCCCGGTGACGATCCGTGGGGGAAATCCCCTGCGCTAGCCCCACTGCCTTTACACCAAAGATGCACTTCTTGTCTAGCCCTGTTGTTAACTTTGAGGAAATGGTTTAACCAGTTGGACCTGAATGACATTCCCTGCCCTTGTGAACACGGTGTGTGTTCTGTTCCTCTCCTTTGTCACACAGAGAAAGTGTGTGTCTTTGTGTCTCTCTTGAAGTCCTCGTCCACATTTCCGGGATAATATTTCCCTCAGGCTAAATATTCCCCCGGGAGCATGGGGACTGTTGGACACAACGACAATGTGATTTAATTTTCTTTCCTTTCTCTTATCGACCTAGCCTGAAAATTTATGAATTGATAAACACTTTTTATGTGCCGCCAATTCTCGTGGTGTTTCATAATTTCTCACCTAAAATTCATTCCATCTGTAATCGTGAGGTATATACACTGAAAAATCAACTGTGGACCCCCCTTTTCAGACTTCAAGGCTGTAATTATAGGCAGTCCTCAACTTATGAACCCCAAATATTTGTTGTTAAATGAGATTTCCTCATTTTCTGACCATTTTTGCCATGGCTGTAAAGCAAATCACTGCAGTTGTTAAATGAACTGTACCAGGGGTAGGCAACCTTGGCTCTTTTATGACTCGTGGACTTCAACTCCCAGAATTCCTGAGCCAGCTGTGCTGAGGGGAAAGGGAGAGGTTTCCAAGCTGAGCCATGCTGGCTCAGGAATTCTGGGAGTTGAAGTCCACGAGTCATAAAAGAGCCACGGTTGCCTACCCCTGAACTATACGGTCACTAAGCACATCTGGCTTCCCCCAGCTGGGAAGTTTACAAAAGGTGGATCACATGATCTTGGGACAGTATAATGGTCAAATTTTGATCACATGACCATGAGGATGCTGCAACTGTCGTTAAGTGTGAAAAACGATCCTAACTCACTTTTTTTCAGTGAGTTGTCCCTTCAAATGGCCGCTATACCATTGTAAGTGAACGACCACCTCTAATTCTTTGCAGGGGGTCCCTCATCTGCTCCCAGCCCCTACAAAATTGGCCCCATTATCCTGTTCAGAGTACAGGGAGTCCTCAACATACAACCACGACTGAACCCACAATTTCCATTGCTAAGCGAGACATTTGCTAAACGAGTTTTACCCCATTTTACGGCCTTTCCTGCCACGGTTGCTAAGTGAATCCTTGCAGCTGTTAAGTTAGTAACATGGTTGTTAAGTGAATCTGGCTTCCCCATGGACTTGGAGATCACAAAAGTGGACTGCGTGACCCCCTGGGACGCTGCAACCGTCATAAATACGAGTTAGTCGCTGAGCGTCTGAATTTGAAGCACGTGACCGTGGGGCTGCTGCTCAGTCGTAAGTGTGAAACATCGTCGTAAGTCCCTTTTTTCAGCGCCGTCGTAATTTTGAACAGTCACGAAAGGAACCGTTGTAAGTTGGGGACTTTGTTGCACTGTTGTTCTTAATCAGAACATAGGCAAATTCACTCCGTAGTGTCATCTCACCCTTTTGTTCCTGGCTACCATCAGGGCAGTGTCGTTGTGGTAATTTTTCAGGCCTCCGTCTGCCCCGTTCCTCACCAGAAGCCGCAGCATGTCCAACAGGCCCCTTCCACTGGCTGTGTGGAGCGCCGTATTGCCTCCGTAGGATTGGGCGTTTACATTGGCACCGTGCTGTAAAATGGGCACAAGACACACACACACACACATTTTAAGGATGCACCAACAACGGAGCTTGCAGAAATTCTGCATGCATGCATGCTGGCAAAGATTTCAGAACATTTGAGGAAATGAAAAGCTAAGAATGTTCCTTGTAGGACAGAAAATATTTGCTCGGGGATAAATTTTGTATTTGCCAGTCCTTAGAATTCTAGGCTTGATTGGTTTACAATGCCCCTATTTATGCAGGAAGCTAGCGTTTACAACTTTTCTGCCACGCTGTGGTTTTGTCCTGCCAGAAGCTGAAAACCTTGTTATTATGTTAACAATGGTTTATTACAAACAAGCAGCATTTAAAGTCATGGTTACTGAGTTGTGCTATCCTATTCATTGACCCAGATGATAAAACAAACTATGGTTTGCCGAAGTGGAAGTTTGTCAGTATTTTCTCAGGTCTGACCTCTTTAAGCTGAGTGGACTTCAACTCAACATGTCCAGCTGGGGAATTCTGGGAGTTGAAGTCCCCCAACAGCTTCAAGTGGCCAGGTTTGAGAAACACAGCTTTGCTTGCTTTAGCTTAATCTTTCCATATAGCTTGTGCTAAACTATTGTTTATAGGAATCGAACAATTGCTGTCAATGCATTTTTGTTTTTATTTATTTTTTCCAAAAAAGTTTGAGGCGAAAGGGGATTTTCTTAAGAAGGCAAAGCATCCTTACCTGTAGTAGCAACTCCACCATATCCAAATTATTGTTCTCCACAGCATGAAGTAGTGGAGATCTGCCACTCTTTATGTCCTAAAAACAGGAGTCAATCAGGGTTGGTGAAAATGGGCACCATTATTGGCATCATGCTGGGAATGTTAATGACATTTACAATTCGGAGACCATGATTCTTTCCCTTTTCTCCATTCACTCTTTAAAAAACAGTAGTAAATATTAGTACTGATGCTCTGAAGTCTGAATTCCCATACAAACAGTGGGGAAGACTGTTGGAAACCAGTAACTCTGAAACAGGTAATGGATTAGGGCCTCTTAAGGTCTCATGGAAGCAGATAATAATTTTGCGATATTCCAGTGCAATTCTGTTGTACAGCAAATTCCTCATCTTGCACATTAGCAATTTATTTCAAATTCATTAAACCCTCATAAAAAAATTACCCAAGCTCTGAAGTCTGAATTCCCATAGAAACCGTGGCGAACACTGTTGGAAACCAATAACTTTGAAACAGGTAACATATTGGGGCCTCTTAACGTCTCATGGAAAAAATAATAATTTGCTATATTCCAATTCGATTCTGTTGTACAGCAAACTCCCTGTCTTGTACACTAGGGAAAAATGCATGTTTGCAGATAGGCAAACATAATAAAAATGAAGAGCTAAACTTGAAGGGGAAAGATTTAGTTTTATTTCAAATTCATTAATCCCCTCATAAAAAAAAATATTAAAAGCAAGATGGTATCGCACCAAAATATAGCCACTCAAGTCTACCATGGGCCTTTTCTTGTCTTAAGACATTTCCTCCGTCTTCTCAAACATTCCCGTTTAAAATTTTAGTCCTGCACAATTCAGTTGTTTGAAATTGTAACTTCCTATTCCACAACCCTCTCTTGGAATGAAAAAGGAACTCTTCCTCTGCTTATTCATTTAAAATTCTTTTTTTTTTTTGTTTACTTTTGTAAAACAAACTTTCCCATTAATCAGAACACTCCCGGGTTTCATTTAACCATCCCGAGTTTCACTAAAACAATACATGCAAAATATCGTGTACTTTTGCGGTTTGCCAAACGGGTCTCTACATTTCACCCTGAATTATTCATAGCTGTAATCAATTGCAGAGATCAGTGGAGTTTTCGTGCAAGGTCCTCCAGTTCATTTCCTCCTTCCTATACCATCAAAATGAACAATGCCCAATATCTGTAGGAGATGAGACCCAGGCTGAGCCCGAGGGAGGTGTGTGTGTGGGGTCAAATGCATCATTAGACCTAAGTCCCTGCGAGCTCGCAAGAAATCGAAATCCAGCCCACCTTGAATGCCTTTCTTATCTCCCGCTCATTTCCCTTAACGGTCAGTTGGCCAGATTCTTATAGGGAGCTTAAGCTTGCAATACATCTTTATACTCATTGGACTTCCTGAATCTCCTGATTTCCCGCACGCTTGACAATATCCTCTTGAACTCCGTGCTTACCACAGCATCTACATCTGCTCCATGATCCAGCAAAGCAAGAACCATGTCAGAGTTAGAGGATCCAACCGCTAAATGCAGCGGGGTAAAACCTAGTTAAAGACAAAAAGGGGATAGGGAACACAATAGGGATGTTTTAAAAACAAAAACAGTCCTTGTCCACTTGCCATTTTGTCAGTGTTTCCAACTAAAGGCAGTCTTCGACGTGCGACCGCAAATAAGGCCAAAATTTCTGTTGCTAAGTGAGACCTTTGTTACGTGGGTTTGACTCCATTTTACGACCTTGCTTGCTACAGTTGCTAAGCGAATCGCTGCCGTTGTTATGTTAGTGACACGGCTGTTAAGTGAAACTGGCCTCCCCATTGACTTTGTGTGTCAGAAGGTCGCAAAAGGGGATCCCATAACCCGGGACACTGCAACCGTCATAAAGGTGAGTCAGTTGCCAAGTGCCTGAATGTGGATCCCATGACTATGGGGATGCTAGGATCGTTGTAAGTATGAGGACGGGTCATAAAATCCCTCCTTCCAGTACCATTTTGGATGGTCGCTAAAGGAATGGTTGTAAATCCGCGGACTATCTGTACTACAACCTCTTAAACTGCCGGAACGATTGAAGGATCCCATTTCATCCTATCAACCCATCAGGCCTCACCCTCGAAGTTCCGGGCCTCCAGATCCAGTCCGGCGGGACTTCCCTCCAACAACTCCCGCAGGCAACGGAGGCTGCCGTGTTCACAAGCCAGATGCAGAGCAGTTTGTCCGTTCCGGTCCAGCACCATGGGTGATGCTCCGTGGGACAGTAAAAGCTTCACCAGGGAAGGCTGAGCTATGATGACCGCCAAGTGTAACGGGGTCTGGAATTGGGGAAGGAAAGGGGGCTGATCACTGCCAGGGAATACATGGAGAGTTTACTTATTATTATTATTATTTACTTATAGCCCATCGTTATTATGTCTAAAATTAACCCAAGGGGGGTGAACATATTCAACCCAAACTCCTCCCTTCTATTTTCCCCCAGAACAACAACCCTGTGAGGTGGGTTGGGCTGAAGGAAAGGAACTGGTGCCCAAAGTCACCCAACCGGCTTTCAGGTCTAAGGTGAGACTAGAACTCACTGTCTCCTGGTGATTGGCCCAAAGTCACCCAGTCAGTTTTCATGCCTAAGGCAGGACTAGAACTCACCATCTCCTGGTGATTGGCCCAAAGTCACCCAGTCACCTTCCATGCCTAAGGGAGCCTAAAACTCAGTTTCTCTATCTGATTGGCCCAAAGTCACCCATCCGGCTTTCATGCCTAAGGCAGAACTAGAACTCATGGTCTCCCACTTCCTAGCCTGGTGCCTTAACAGCAGCTAAATTTATGCAGTTAAGGCCCGTGGGTTTTTCTGTAACAGGTTTATTTACAAACACACACACACACACAAACACAACAGTAGACGCACCCTGATACGCACAGACCTGTCTAGAATTTTTATTAAAAGTTTTAGATCAAAAAGATAAAAAAGTAATGCAAACTAACATAAGGTAAGGAAGTAAAAAGGAAAGAAAGAAACTTAGAAAAGGGAAACAGGGCAAGAAATGGAAAAAAAAAGGTGCTTTTTTTTTTTTTAAAGACGGTTTGCCACCCGGAGTCCCTTGTTCAGATGGGCGGCCCCACAAACAGCATTTCAAAAAATCCGAGTCCGATTCCGAATCTGAACTTAAATCCAACCCCTACATGGAACATGCAGGGTTCAAGGTTTCCGCTGCAGGGATCTGCGTTGTCGTGAACAGCGTCTCTACCACGCTTGGTGGGTGGAGAAAGCGGGCTGAGCTGCGGGGTCATTTCTGGGCAGTGGCCCCTGCCTGCAGAGGAAGCCAACACACAACAAACCGAGACGCCCACAAGGCAGAGACCACTGTCCTCGGTGCTCTTCCTTGGAACCACGGAAGCGCCACTGCGCGGCACACCCCAGCTTCGTTTCAACAGCTCTTACTCACTGAATTCGGAGGAAACCAGCTGTGTTCCCATGATCAAACCGCATCCCCAACACCTGCCTGCATTCATGCAGCCAGGGGTTTCTCAGAAAGGGCGGCGGGGGGGGGGGACGGGGTCCAAAGCAAGGTTTATAAGAAACACAGAAGGAAGTGATGGCGGGGAGTGGATGGGACCCACGTGGGACAGCCCAAAGACGCAGCAAGGCTGCCCTCTTGCCTCTTCCCAGTGATCAACAGCGTGCAGGAAATGCAGGCAGACTTCAGCTTGCCTTTGCAAACAAAATTTCATCCTTTCATTCCTGCATGCATGCATTCGTTCCTTCGTTCGTTCGTTCATTTACTGAAAATAAGTGAAACTTATTAAATAAAGTAAATAAATGACGTTTATTTGCCATCCATCTCGTATCCAGTGACCTTGGGCGGCTCACAACATAAAAACCTTGAAACAACCATTAACATCATCCACTGTAAAAAAAACAAAACCAACAACACAGCAGATAAAAACCTTTATAGATATTAACCAAACACAAGGAGTCCTCGCTTAGCGACCACAATGAGCCAGTTGGTCATTAAGGGAAGCCGCCACCACGATTTTCTGATCTGACTTCAGCTTTCTTTTGCTTGACAAGACCCGGGAAGGTGGTAAATGCGAGAAATGGTTGCAGAGTTATTTTTTCTCTCACCGTCAGAACAGTTGCGGAAGGAGGTGGTCGGTAAATGAGGACTAATGGTAGTTCATTTCCAAAGCCAGAGGTCGTGGGTCTTTTAGAAGTCATTCCTGACTGGCTATTCTTTTAAAGTAAGAGGGAGGAGTAGCGAAACAGGCTAGCAAAACACCGTGTCAATTTTTCTGCTTCTCCCTGGCTAACTGAGGAATTCTGGGAGTTGAAGTCCACATATCTTAAAGTTGTAAAGGTTGAGGAACGCCAGTCTATACCTCCAAAGATCAGAACTGTGCACGCCATGGTATTCCCTACGATACTCTAACAAAGTGGAAGTTGCGCTTCAAAGAAGCAGAAAAGGATGAGTCGGCCTTTGACCTTTGGAGTTGGAGAGGACTTCCCCATGGGGTGGCCAAGACAACAAACCGATGGATCATCAAAAGAAGTCAACTCAAAGTTCGCACTCGAGGCACAGAAAACTCAAATTATCCTACTTTGAACACATTACGAGAAGACCCAGCTCTCTGGAGAAGGCTCTGATGCTGGGAAAGACGGAAGGAAAACGAAGGTCACGACTACCAAGGCGAATGGATTCAGATACAGAGACAATGGGGACACCAGTGGGAAAGTTGGAGGACCAGGTGAAAGACAGATCATCATACAGAAGATCTATCTATGTGCCATATTCAAGGGCTTCTGTACTCCGACTATAGACTATTGAAGACTATTCCTGAAGTCTGTCCTATGGTAGCCCCAGCCTTATCAAACACCTTCACAAAAGTCTCTTGCTGGTCCTTCATTTGTAGTTTTGAGCAGATCCTATCATCCTTCATCCTTTGATCCCTGCCTATCCACACATATTCCATATCCAATGATGCTTTGATGGGTAGTCCTTGATTTATGGCCATTCAAAGTTATGGCAGATCCCTCAAAAGCTATTTATGGCCTGGTTCTAAAGTTCTGACATCTGCCCCTCCCCCACAATCATGTGACCACATTTTGCGGGCTCAGCAACCGAGGCATATCTATACTTATTTGTAGCATTTTTGCTCGAAACTGGCATTTACTTCTGGTTTCTGGGGAAAAAATTGACCCCTAGCGAACAATGGATTCACTTAACGAGTGCATCATTTGCTTTATGACTGTCATGTTTGCTTAGCAACTGCCATAAAAAAGGTCCTAAAATTGGGTCCGGTTGTATGATAAGCTGCTTAATGACCTTCAGGATTTACGTCCGTAATTGTTGGGCCTAATTACAGTCAGAACTTGAGAGCTACTTGTATTATTCTCTTTTTAACATTTTTTCTCCTCTTAATTGCATCTTCAGCTGTTGTTGCCTCAGTGGATGGGTTCTCCAACACTGGAGGTTTTTAAGAAGAGACTGGACAGCCATTTGTCCGGAACAGAACAGAAAGAATAACATTATTGGAAGCGACCTTGGAGGTCTTCTAGTCCAACCCTCTGCCCATTCACACAAATGGTTGTCCAGCCTCTTCTTAAAAATCTCCAGTGATGGAGCACTCACAACTTCTGGAGGAAAGTCATTCCATTGATTAATTGTTCTAACTGTCAGGAAATTTCTCCTTAATTCCAGGTTGCTTCTCTCCTTGATTAGTGTCCATCCATGGCTTCTTGTTCTGCCTTCAGGGGCTTTGGAGAAGAGGTTGACCCCCTCTTCTTTGGGGCAGCCCCTTAGATATTGGGATCATTGCTATTATGATATAAAGCAGTGGTTCCCAGTCAGTTCTCCACGGTGTGTGTGTGTGTGTGTGTGTGTGTGTGTTATTTATTATTTAAAGTTAAGATTTAAGAGTCTTGGGGATCCGTGGCCAAAAAAGATATTTATAAGGGGTCCGTGGTAAGAAAAGGTTGAGAACCACTGGTGTAATGTATAAAGGAATGGTATAGGCCAGGGATAGGCAACCTTGGCTCTTTTATGACTGGTGGACTTCAACTCCCAGAATTCCTGAGCCAGCCATGCTGAGGGGAAAGGGAGAGGTTTCCAAGCTGAGCCCTGCTGGCTGAGGAATTCTGGGAGTTGAAGTCCACGAGTCATAAAAGAGCCAAGGTTGCCTACCCCTGGTATAGAATCTCTTGCTAGAGCAGGGGGTTGGACTAGACGACCTCCAAGTACCCTTCCAACGTTGTTATTCTATGTTCAAACTGAAGACGTCAGAACAAACCCACAAGCTCTGACCCCAATTTCCTCCTGTCTCATTGCTGTTTCAGTACTTATAATCCGGCTTTGCTGACCATGAAGCAAGCTCTCTTGAGCAATAGTTTGAGGAAGTGACTCTGGGCTTTGCCACCAGCAGATTCGAGGGAAAGTCCCGTGGGTGGAGAGAGGAGGGGGGGTGCAAAGCCCAAATGGTTGCCAGGAATTAAGCCAATAATCTGTGCTGTCAGGTCAAAAAAGTCAAGAAGAGGATTGCAAGGGTGCACTTAAAGCTCCAGGGGAGGGTCAAATAAGTCAAGATGGCAGCCGCAATGAGGCAATCAAAGCTCCAGGGGAGGGTCAAACAAGTCAAGATGGCAGCTGCAATGAGGCAATCAAAGCTCCAGGGGAGGGTCAAACAAGTCAAGATGGCGGCCGCAATGAAGCAATCAAAGCTCCAGGAAAGGGTCAAATAAGTCAAGATGGCGGCTGCAATGAGGCAATTAAAGCTCCAGAAAACGGTGAAACAAGTCAAGATGGCGGCCACAATGAGGCAATCAAAGCTCCAGGAAAGGGTCAAATAAATCAAGATGGCGGCCGCAATGAAGCAATCAAAGCTCCAGGAAAGGGTCAAATAAATCAAGATGGTGGCCGCAATGAAGCAATCAAAGCTCCTGGGAAGAGTGAAATAAGTCAAGATGGTGGCTGCATTGAGGCAATTAAAGCTCCAGAGAAGGGTGAAAATGTCAAGATGGCGGCCGCAATGAGGCAATCAAAGCTCCAGGGAAGGGTCAAATAAACCCAGATGGCGGCCGCAATGAGGCAATTAAAGCTCCAGGGAAGGGTCAACTAAATCAAGATGGCGGCCGCAATGAGGCAGTCAAGGCTCCAAGGAAGGGTTAACTAAGTCAAGTCTATCTGCTCTAGAACAGCCTCTTTCCTGCCCAACCGAGTTCTGCTGGTGAAATCATAATTCCTACTCCGCTCCTGGTTTGACAATATCAACTATCATCTTTGTAGAGCTGTTTTCCCTCTCTCAGTCTACAGTCATAGAATTATAGGCCTGGAAGGGACCTCGGAGGTCTTCTATTCCAACCCCTGCCTAATTACAGGTAGTCCTCAACTGACAACCACAACGGAGCCCAAAACTTCTGGTTGCTAAGTGAGACAATTGTTACATGAGTTTTGACCCATTTTACAGCTTTTCTTGCCACAATTAAGTTCACTGCAGTTATTCAGTAAGTAACGCCATTGTTAAGCGAATCAGCTTCCCCAATTGACTTTGCTTGTCAGAAGGTCACAAAAGGGGGATCACGTAACCCCAAGACATTGCAACCGTCACAGGTGTGAGTCGGGTTTCCAAGTGTCTGAATTTTGGTCAGGTGACTATGGAGATACTGCAGTAGTTGTAAGTGTGAAAAACGGCCATAAATCACTTTTTTTTCAGTGCCATTGAATGGCCACTAAACGAACTGTTATACGTCAAGGACTACCTGTATTCCATCCTGGACAATTATACCATCCTGAGCAATTTTTTTCTTTGAAAACCTCCAGGGATGGATCACCCACAACTTGCGAGGCAAGCTGTTTGGCTGCTTAATATTTTTCATTTTGGGGGAAATTCCTCCGTATTTCCAGAATGGATCTTCCTCTGACGAGCTTCCTCCAGTCTTGCCTCTACCTGCTCCAACAACTTCCCAGTTTCTTCCTTGTGCTTGTTCCGTTTTTGAAAAACGCCATCCCGTTCCGGAGGAAGCAGACTCCTGCCCTCTGTGTATTACAGAAATTCAGCCCACTGGCTTCAATTTACCTACAGACTTAGGATGCAACTTTTCCTGGAAGGGTGGGGCAGCAGGAAACAAGCGGTATGCCAAAGCCGCACCCCACAATGGAAACCTCCTAGAGCTGCCTTTCTCCTTCTGTGCATTCAAGCCTATCTTCCCGGGCTTAAGGGCTAGAAACTTGTTTGTTTGTTTTTTTTAAATCAATACCAAAAGCTTTCTCTTTGGGTCAAGCTATTCTCCAAAGCACCAGAGGGAAGGACAAGAAGCAACGGGTGGAAACTGATCAAGGAGAGAAGCAACCTAGAACTCAGGAGAAACTTCCTGACAGTTAGAACAATTAACCAGTGGAACCACCTGCCTCCAGAAACGGTGAATGCTCCAACACTGGAGGTTTTTAAGAAGAGACTGGACAGCCATTTGTCCGAAATGGTGTAGGGTTTCCTGCCTGAGCAGGGGGTTGGACTAGATGACCTCCAAGGTCCCTTCCAACTTTACGATTATTATTATTATTATTATTATTATTATTATTATTATTATTATTATTATTATTATTATTATTATTATTATTATTATTATTAATTACTTTGAGGAAGCCTTCCTCCCTTGATAAGGAGGAAGATTGCAGATCAGGGTTACAGCCTATGCAACAGTGTTTTTCATGCACGTTCAAAATATCACATCCCAGTCCTAGGAGAGCACTATCTTAGCTTAGCGTAAGATAAAAGCTGCCCCCAAACTCCCTGAATCTTGGAGCTCAAATTAGAAAAACAGCCTTCGTCGTTGGCCACCTGCAGCCACAGCAGCCCAACCCATCCCGTTGTAGAAGGAGCATCCTACACAGTGGTTCTCTTCTTGCATGCACTAACCTGCCGTAGGTTGTTGAAGATATCCAGGTCCCGCTGTCCGTGTTGGAAGAGGATCACTAAATGCTGAGCAGCCAGCAGATTCCCCTGAGCTACAGCAATGTGGAGTGGCCTGCAAGAGAGCAAAGGACGTTTTCAGTCACCTTCCCCAGCTCTTTAGACCTTCACCAAACAGTGGGGATGCTCTCTGAGCCTGATGGTATTTTTGCAGACGTCTCGCAAACCAACTAGGTAACATCATCAGTGCTAGAAAGGAGTGGGGTTGGCTCTGTTTATATATTAGTGGCTTGCCCTGTTATAGTGTTAGTGGGGGTGGCTCCTTGATTAGGTGATAGACAGGGTTGATAGGGTTAGGGTTAGACAGACAGGAAGGCAGAGGTGTGGACTTCAACTCCCAGAATTCCCTAATCACCGTGCTTTAAGATGTGTGGAGTTCAACTCCCAGAATTTTTTTAACCACCATCTTCAAAACGTGTGGAGTTCAACTCCCAGAATTCCCTAATCACCGTGCTTTAAGATGTGTGGAGTTCAACTCCCAGAATTTTTTTAACCACCATCTTTAAAATGTGTGGACTTTGACTCCCAGAATTCCCTAGCCATCTTCAAAACGTGTGGACTTCAACTCCCAGAATTCCCTAGCCACCATGCTTTAATATGTGTGGAGTTCAACTCCCAGAATTTTTTAGCCACCATCTTTAAAATGTGTGGACTTCAACTCCCAGAATTCCCTAGCCACCATGCTTTAACATGTGTGGAGTTCAACTCCCAGAATTCCCTAGCCACCATTTTCAAAACTTGTGGACTTCAACTCCCAGAATTCCCTAATCACCATGCTCTAAGATGCCTGGACTTCAACTCCCAGAATTCCCTAGCCACCCTGCTTGAAGACACGTGGACTTGCTGGCTGGGGAATTCTGGGAGTCGAAACCCACCTACCTTAAAGCTGCTGAGGTTGAAAAACACAGTTCTGGGGTTCCCACGGGCCGAGACAGCTGTCAAAAGTCGCCCCCTTTTTGCAAAGGGGGAGCTGAAACGGATGGAGAGGGCTCCCCCCCCCTCCTTTGAAATGTGATTTTGCTCATCACGGATGAGTCCCTGCTCTTGGGGCCCCAACCGCACTTCCGGCGTGGGACAGCGCTCTCTCTCTCTCTCTCTCTCCCAAGGTCACGCCACACCGTGTGATTTCACAAAAGCTCCCCGGCAGGCACTCCGTTTACAATAAAGCGAAACTTGTCTTCTGGCGACAGTGCCCCATTCGCAGCAGTGGAAAGGGCTCCCCCGGCAAAGACTTCCAGTAAGAACCACCGGCTCGGCTGTGACCTTTGCTTCCTGCCTCACCGTGGCAGGCTGCTTCCTCACCGGAGCAGCCAAGTCAAGCCAAGCCAAGCCAAGCCAAGCATCTTCCCCCAAGCCCCACTCCTCTCCTCCCAAAAGGGGGCACTGGGATTCTGCTCCCACGGCCGATGACCTTCCCTTGCAGCCAGGTTTTCCTCTGCAATTCTGCAGGGCAGGCGGAAGAGAAGGAAAAGGGTGTGTGTGTGTGTGTGTGTTGTGTGTGTGTGTGTTGGCAAGAGAAGATCTCCCACCCTGCCTTCGGGGCCAGCCAACACCCTTTGCCCCATTCCTGTAAGAGGAGCAAAGTTGCCAACGGTTACGTAGCAGGGAGAGAGAAGAGAGAGAGAAAAAAATAAATCAGGCGGCTAGGGAGGAGCAGTTTGTGTGTGTGTGTGTGTGTGTGTTTGGGAGTGTGTGAGTGTGTAAGGGAAGAGAGATTCAGCTGCAGCAGAAATGGGGGATTCCCCTTCCAGCTTAAGCTTGCTTTGATTCAAGAGCAGCAGGAACTGTTCTTAGGGTGACAATAGCAGAAGCATTAAAAAAAAAAATTAAAAAAAAAATCACCTCCCGGCTTTGAATGTGGCTTTTGGCCCAGAACAGGAAGTGAAGATAGGATATAACTGCAGGTTATTTATTTGTAAATAGATCAAAGCTGGCTTGTTGGGCAGAGGCTGAAACTTACTGAAACGGGGCTGTTTCCAACCACAGCCCACTCAAAGTGTAGGGGCAGGAGGGACCAGGTAGTCCTCGCCTTATGACCGAAACTGAGCCTAAAAGTTAGCTGTTGCTAAATGAAACGTTTGTTAAGTGAGCGTTTGACTCATTTTACGACTTTTCTTGCCATCGTTGTTAAGTCACACGGTTGTGAAGTGAACCAGGCTTCTCCCATTGACTTGGCTGGTCAGACGGTCACAAAAGGGACACTGCGACCGTCATAAATATGAGTCAGTGGCCAAGGGTCTGAATTTTGATCACATGACGCTACGCAACGGTCATAAGTGGGGAAAACGGTCATGAGTCCCCTTTTTTCAATGCCGCTCTAACTTTGAGCAGCCACTAAACAAACTGTTGCTTAGTGACTACTGAAGTTACAACGGCATTGAAAAAAGTGACGGACAGCCATTTTTCACACTTACGACCGTTGCAAGTATCCCCACAGTCCTGCGGTCAAAATTCGGACACTTGGCAATTGGCTCACATTTATGACGGTTGCGATGTCAGAGAGTCACGTGTAAACTTTGTAAACTTCTGACCAGCAAAGTCAAAAGGGGGGGGGGAGAGCCAAATTCACTTAACAACCGGGTTACTAACTTAACTGCAGTGATTCACTTAACGACTTAACGGCAAGACAGATCGCAAAATGGGACCAAAACTCACTTAACAGCAGAAATTTTGGGCTGAATTGGGGCGGAAAGTCAAGAACTACCTGTATTGAAGCTGCTGAAGGTGTAAACAGTCAGAAAAATGGGGTGCATATCACCCTCATCCCGGACCCCGATTACAGGCGGTCCTCGACTTACGGCTACAACTGTGAAGCAAAATTTGGGTCGCTAAGCAAGATGTTTCTTAAGTGAGCTGCACCCCATTTTTACGACCTTTTTTGCCATGATCGTTAAGCAAATCTGAACAGTCACTAAGCGAATCACATGGTCATTAAGCAAATCCGGCTTCTTTCATTGACCTGTTGGACACCGGATGAGAAGGTTGCATATGGCTATCACCTGACTCCGGGACGCTGCAACTGTCGTAAATATATGACAGTTGCCAAGCACTGAAATGTTGATCACTTGACCGTGGGGATGCTGTGACGGTCATAGGTGCGAGGACTGATCGTAAGTCGCTTTTTCAGTGCCATTATAACTCGGAACAGTCGCTAAACGAATATTGGTAAGTCGAGAACATCGATCCAGCTAAAAGCACAATTACAATTCAATTTTTCTCCAGAATTTTGCCCATGAATCAATCAATCTATCTATCTATCTATCTATCTATCTATCTATCTATCTATCTATCTATCTATCTATCTATCTATCTATCTATCTATCTATCTATCTATCTATCATCTATCTATCTCTATCTCTCCATCCATATATTATAAGAAACTTTTTCCTCTTACGTGTCTCCATCCTCATCTTGCTGCGTTGCCGTGGCAATGTCCAAAGCCAGCTGGGCTTCTGGCGGGGGCATCAAGGAGTAAGAAGGCAAGATTCCCAACAACGACTGTGCGGTCAAAGGTTGTAAAAGTGGAGGCAGCTCTGGGTTCAAAAAGGGACTGGCCAGACCTGAGGATTCGACAGGAGAGAGATGGCAATGAGAAGCAAAGTTTGTTGGCTTATTTATTTCCATCCTGCCTTTATTATTGTTATAAATCACATATCCCGTACACCTTCCTTCTCCTATTTTTCCCATAACAACAACCCTGTGAGGTGGGTTGGGCTGAGAGAGGGGGACTGGCTCAAAGTCACCCAGTCGGCTTTCATGCGTAAGGCAGGACTAGAATTCACGGTCTCCTGATTATTGGCCCAAAGTCACCCAACCAGCTTTCATGTCTAAAGTGGGACTAGAATTCACTGTCTCCTGGTCATTGGCCCAAAGTCACCCGATTGGCTTTCATGCTTAAGGCAGAACTAGAACTCACCGTCTCCTGGTGATTGGCCCAAAGTCACCCAGCCGACTTTCATGCCTAAGGTGGGACTAGAACTCACCGTCTCCTGGTGATTGGCCCAAAGTCACCCAGCCAGCCTTAGTCCCTAAAGCGGGACTAGAACTCACAATCTCCTGGTGATTGGTTGCAAGTCACCCAGCTGGCTTTCATGCCCCAGGTGGGACTAGAATTCGCCATGTCCTGGTGATTGGGCCAAAGTCACCCAGTTAGGTTTCATGCCTAAGGCTGCACTAGAACTCACAGCCTCCTGGCCAGGTTTCTAAGGTCAACTTTGATTTCCTTCAAATCCAGACACGAAGCCAACTTCTCACTTGGTCAAGGCCCCTCTTGGTTTAGCTTGGGAAATAACCTAGGAACGTGCCTGCAGGGAACCAGCATTCACAGAAGGGAGGAAAGGCTTCCAAACTGCATGTGGATTTGGTTTAACTGCCCAATGAATGGGTTTTAAAACTGATGTCCTTCCTCAAGTTCCTACTTCAAATTTCCCTTGGGTGTCTGAACCCTTGAACCAACATGGGGTGTTCACGTTGGGCATATTCAACATAATGCAGAACAGACCCCCCCCCCCCATCTTTACTATCTTCCTGTCTGTATACCTGGATAAAATACGGGGAGTCCTTGGTTAACAACTGCCCTGTTTTGTGACTGTTCGAACTTGTAACGGTGTGAAAGCAACCGAATTAAGGAACCACCAAGAACAACCCCCCTAACCCTAACAAAACAAGCCATTTCTATACAAACAGAGAGCAAACCCCACTCCCTCCTAGCACTGATGACATTACCTAGTAAGGTAATGAAACGTCTGTAAGAAAACAACCAAGCTCAGAGAGCGTTAATGACTCCACAGCTCAACCTCAACTACAAATATTCTCTTCAGTGCTGAGAAAACTCGCTTTATGACCAGTCCTTGAACTTATGGGTGGCTCAGCATCTCTGTCGTTATGGGATCCCCATTTGCAACCTTCACAGCTGGCGAGCAAAGACGAGCAAAGTCATTGGGAAAGCCAGCAGGAAGTGGCAAGTTTCTGGTCACATCACGCTTAAAAAACTGCAGGTGATTCGCTGAATCACCCCCCCGCAGGACTGATGTCACAAATTGGGAGTGGTCATGGGACATTTCACTTTACGACCTCGTCACTTGCCGGTCTCAGTGGCAGCCGTTAAGTGAGGACTATCTGGAGAGATCGAGCTGTCACCAGAAGGGCCAATGAGAATGGAGTTCAGCCTAGACTGTCAGAGGTTTTTCTTGACGTCGTTTCAACTGGGGAAGCACTTGCTTGTGGTCCCGCAGATCTTACAAGCCATCCCACTGAGACCACCTGCCCCTCTCTCTCCCCCCCCCAGGAAGGCTGAGGAACTGCTGTGGGTTCAGGAGACGCCAGAGGCACCTTTGTGAACTGCTGGTTGGTCGAGAGCATCCTCTCACGAGAAATGCATTTAAAAAAACATTTTTATAGGGCAATCTCTACCAATTTCTCTCTCTGTCTCTCTCCCTCTTTCCCCCACCTCTCTCTTTCCTTCACTCTCCCCTTTCTCCCTCCCTCTTTCCCCCTTTCCTTCTCTCTCCCCACCTCTCTCCCCCCTTTCTCACTCCCTCCGTCTCCACATCTCCCTCTCTGTCCCTCCCCTTCTCTGTCTCTCCCCCTTTCTCTCTCCCCCTCTCCCCCTCTCCTTCTCTCTCTCCCCACCTCTCTCCCCTTTCTCTCCCCACCTCTCTCCCCTTTCTCTCCCTCTCTCTCCCCCTCTCCTTCACTCTCTCCCCCACCTCTCTCCCCTTTCTCTCCCTCTTTCTCCCCCATCAGTCTCTCTCCCTCTCTCTCCCTCTTTCTCCCTCCCTCCCTCCCCCTCTGCCCCCTCCTTTCAGCATACCTCACAGAGGAGATATTGGGGGGCTACAACTAAAGCAGACCACCTCCACTCATTTACTTACTAAACCCTCACCCCAGGTTAAGAAAGAAAGAACTAAGAAAAACCTTTGTGTATACATTGGGGGTGGGTGTCTGTCTGTCTCTTAATAGTTCTTTATAGTTTGGGCTGTGGTTGATCTGTTGAATCGTTTTAGTTTAGTCGTATTTATTATAACCCTACCCGGAGTCCCTTGGAGTGGGCGGCAATAATAGACGGAACGAAATACATAAATAGATTGGGCTTGTGGTCCACTGTTTGTAAGGGGCGCCAGAAAAAAAAAGGGGAATTGCCCTAAAACATTGGGGTGGGGTGGGAGGAAGCACACCAGGGCTAGCGAGAAGGAAGCTGGCAGTGGGGTATACAAATTATGGGAACCAGGAAAGGAAGAAGAGAAGGTTTTTCTGCTGCTGGGTCCTTACCTGGATAGTAGGACACCGGTACCCTGGGGTAGGGCATGGAGACGTAACAAGGGTGGTAGCCATTGGAGTGAGGTTGTCGGGACCCGCTTCCCTCCTGCCCACTCTCCGTCTTGGGGACCTTGCCAGCCAGAGGTCCCGGCGTGTCCCCGTTTGCCCCCTCCACGGCATAGCGGCGCTTTCTCAGAGGTAAATACATCTCCTGCTTCTTCTCTTCCTGCAGCCCAGCCTTGGGGGATGCTGCGTCTCCAGTCCTGGGTTGGGGGTCAGCCTGACCCATGGAAGAAGCGTCTCTGGCCCCAGGTTCGGGCAGCGCTCCTGAAGAAATACAGCCAGGCGTCTGCTGTCCAGAGGGAGTCAGAGGAGGGTCTCCATGAGAGGGGGGGTGCTTGTCTTGGCGCCCCTGTTTCCGCCAGGTGCGCAGGTCGACGGGAAACTCCCCGGCCATCTTCCTGGATGCTTGGCGCGGCCAGAGAGGGGAGCCACAAAGTCCACCTACCTGTCCCAGGTTCCTGATCAAGCTTTTGAAAAGAGGTCCCTCCTCCTACCTAGATACTGGGGGAGGGAGGGAGGGAGGGGAAGCAACCGCCTCAGCCCCCCATCTTTGCAAGGCCGACCTCTCTTTGCCCTGTCCAGCTCCCCCCCCAAAAAAGTCTGCCCCCCTTCCAACAAAGCAGAGACCCGCGCAAGGTTTTCAGCTGATGGGAAGAAGAAGAAGTAGTAGTAGTAGTAGTTGAAGAACGGGACAGCGGCTCCTTTCCTCCCCCAGCATCGCGGGTCGCTGTCCGACTTGTTCGGGGAGGGGTGCTGACGGCCCCCTCCGAGGAGACATGCGATCGCCCCCCCCTCCTCCAGCCCCTTCCCCAGCGGATCCTGCAGAGAGTTAGCAGCGCGCCATGCGCCTTTCCTGGGCAACCCCTCTCCCGGGAGGGTCCCGGCTCGGCAGCTGGAGGGTGGGGGGGGCGAGTGTCTCTCTCTCTTCCAAGATCCCCCCCTCCCCACCTCACTGGATCCCTCGCCCGGATTCCTGCGAAGGGAGTCACCCGTCCAACGCCTCCCCGGCGTCTCGCCTCTGCCTCTGCCAAGTCATCCTTTTGCTTTGCGCTCGCTCGGGCGGACGAGGGAGGTGGGAAGAGAGGGGGGTGGGCGGGCTGTGCAGAAGCTCCCCCCTCCTCCCAGCCGCAGGAGGGTCGGTGGGCCGGGCCGGGGTCTCCCTGGGCGCCCACGAGCCGATCCCCGTCGGCGGCGGTGGTGACACCCGCTTGGCCCAGCCTCGGCGGTGGAGGAAGGAAGCCGGGACTTCCCCGAGCGCTCAGCTGAATAGAGGGACTTTCACGGAGCGGCTCTTACCGGCCTCCCTCCCCCGGGGGAGTTCCGCCTCCAGTCCCTCCTCCTCCTGGCCGCCTGCCTCGGCCCTTCCCGCGGCTTCCAACGCCGAGGGAAGCCCCGGCCCGGGCGCGCCCGGGGCGCATGGCTCAAGGCTTGCCAGGTGTGCCCGGGAGCCCCGCCAGCTCCAGGTAGGGCAGAGCGGGGAGGGGGTTGTGTGTGTGTGTTTCTGCGTGGTGGTGGTGGTGTTGGGGGGGGGACATTTACGCCACAAATTGCAGCACGCTACACACAGGAAGTCCTTTGCCCTCTTTAATTCCCGAACGAAAAGGCAATCAATAAAATATACCCGGTGGTTCTTTTATTTGAGATTCCTCCACGCAACAGAGCTCGGATCACTTTGGCTCTTTTATGACTCGTTGGACTTCAACTCCCAGAATTCCTGAGCCAGCCATGCTGGCTCAGGAATTCTGGGAGTTGAAGTCCACGAGTCATAAAAGAGCCAAGGTTGCCTACCCCTGCTGAATAGCTGAAACGGCTACTAGCCCCCCTCCAAAACCGACGAGATGTACATTAAAAACGGCAGTGCAGGGGGTCCCTCTAAAAAGGTGATCAGTCGGCATCGTGCTTTGGTGGGTTATTCTATTCTTCCCTTTTGTTTTCTTTTTTAAAAAAAAATGTATTTTAGAAATCTTTCTTCTACCATACATATTCACCATCGACCCCTCTTTCTTAGCTCCCGTTTTCGGGGCGCTGCTGCCTATTTTTCTCTCTCTGTGACCTAAGGGAGACTTCTGTGCAAGCAAATTTACAGAACTCCATGGCATTTTGGCATTTGGCAGACACAGGTTGTCCTCCTTCAGGGATTAGTTTTCGACTCAGAGGTAGATTTAGAGCCAGACTCAGATTTCATGGTAGCTACAGATTCAAATTAAGGTCGCCAGGTCTGCTTCCAAAAAATAGCGGACAAGCGGACGAGGGGGGGGGGGGGGGGTTAAGTAGTAAAAAAAAAAGTAGACTGTACAGCTTTAGATTACGTACCATTTCATCACAAAGCTTTTGAATAAAAAAAAATGTCCACTATTTTGTGAAAAAAAAAATTAGTGAACATAATGTGAAAAAAAGTGGACTGTCCGCTCAAATAGTGGACACCTGGCAACCCTATCCTTCAGGAATGCTATGCTGGACTTTTGTCCCCGTTTCACGCCCTCCCCCCCTCCCTTTCCCGGGTCACGGGGCTGGCCCCGCTCGCCCTTTGCAACAAGCCGGGGCCGAAGTAGCTTGCAAAGGCTTGCTACTCGCTCTGGGTGGTGCAGGCGAGCTCCACCTGTTGAGAGTCGGCCTGTTTTCCCGGGGACCGGGCGATTGCGTCCTTCGGAGATAAGGACAGGAGGGTGTGAACGTGTGTGTGTGTGTGTGTGTGTGTGTGTGTGTGCGTGCCAGGGCGAGGGTCGGTGCGTGGGTGGCGGCGGCGGCGCTGGGTTCAAGTCAACCCGCCCAGCACGTTTGCACTTTGGCAACGCGGGGCTTGCGACGTGGAAGTTGCACGCTGCCAACTTGGGGGGAAGAGGAGAAAGAGAGAGAGAGAGAGAAAAAAAACACACACAACGCTTTTGCAACGCCGTTTATTGATTCCTTCCTTCGTTCATTCATTAATTCTGGCCCCTTTCGCAGCCCCCCCCCCGCCTGATCCTTGCCTGCCCAGCAAGCGACAGGAGAACACGTGGGAATCTGCTCTTTTCCCTTCCCCACAACCTGGCAAGGGGTGGGGGTGGGGGTGGGGGGAGAGGACCTCGCCAGCGGATGCCAGGCCGTCCGGTTCTTTCCGGGGTAGGGAGGGGGGAGGGGAGGGGAGGAGGAGCGCGATGCTGCAAACGGTGTGCGCAAATGACGTAGGGCTGGCGGTTGGGAGGGCGGGGCGCGGAGAGCGGGATTCCCCCTCAGAACCGGATTAAAAGGGAGGCGCTGTCCCCGGCGGTTTGGGAATGGCGCCCCCTGGTGGCTGAGGAAGGAGCAACAGTCCATGGATGTGTATGTGTGTGTGGGGGGGGGGCGTCCTGGGATTTCAATCCTGTTTATAGGGGTTACAGAGAATCCTTGACTTACAACCATTGGTTTAGTAGTTCGAAGCTACGACGAAAACAAGTGACTTACGTCCGTTTTTCACCCTTACGACCGACCGTTGCACCATCCCCCCCCAAGCGTCACGTGATCTAAAGTCCCACGCTTGGTCGTTTGGCGTGTGTTTTTGACCCTTGCGCTGCCCCTGTGGGTCATGTGATGACGGTTTGTAACCTTCGGGGCATACTTCAACAAGCAAAATCAATGGGGGGGGGGAGAGGGAAGCCAGATTCCATTAATGACCCAATGATTCACTTAACAACTGCCAGCGATTTCCTTAGCTGTGGGCCAGAAAGGTGGGTCAAAGGGGGACAAAACCGACGACAGTTGGAAATGTGGGACTCAATTGTAGTCGTAAGTTGAGGACTGCTGTACTTGGAGGGTGTCCTGTGAGAGGAGGGGTGAAGTGGTAAAGAGGAGGAGTAAAGAGTAAAGAGTAAAGAGTAAAGAGGAGGAGGAGGAGGACTGTGGGGTCCTTGGTGCTCTCTGAGCTTGGTGGTTTTCTCTGATGATGTTACCTTGTTGGGTATTGAAACGTCTGCGAGAAAGCCCCCAAGCTCAGAGACCACCAAAGACCTCACAGTTCCACCCTGGGCTACAAATATCTTTTTTCTATCAGTATTCCCAACTTTTTCAACTCCACCCCAATCAGTTCCAAAGCTTTGAGCCTCCGGGAAATCAAAGGTCACCAGAATTACTGTGATGAGTACACAACATTGGCGCTTACACAAAGGAGTACAGGATAACATAAACAAAAGACAAATAGGCTGAAAAATAGTTTTTTACCCCACAGCTGTAACCACGTTAAATTCCACAGTATAGTACAACGTTGAAGTGCAATATTAGGGGCAGCGCAACGGTGAGTAGAATGTGAAGGATGCGTGTATATAACATGGTGCGTTCTTATTTGTGGTTTTTGCGTGGGTGTAGCGTGCACTTTGGACAGCACTTCATTTTGTCGTGAGTTACACAAGGGCAATAAAGACATTCTATTTCTATTCTAACCCAACCAAGATCTATTTATTTCTTGGGTGTTCCAAATATGCGGTCATCACTGGCTGACATCATTTCCCTGCATCCATGGGAGGGAGGTGGTGGTGGGGGGGCTGGGTTGCGTAGTCCTTTTTTGGAGGCCCTCATGCAAATCCCGGTTTTAGGGAAGAGGGGAAGCAGAATGAGTTGATGGGTCTTTCAATCTTCTTCTCTTTCCCCATGGACTTTTCACCGCCTTCCCCATCCGGGGATCCTGCTTGAACTTGTATCTGGTGGGGTTTTTTGCTCACCGATGTCCTGCCGTGAAGATTGTGTGTTTCTCCTTGAAATTGGGAACTTGTGAGTGACTCAGGGGTCTGGCTCTTCCCAGCTCAGCTGTGGGAAACTGAGGCCGTGAGTCATCTGGCAGCTTACGCAGAGAGCTGAATAAGGGGAGCAGGAGGGAAGTCAGAAGGGAGCGTTGTGGAACAGGCTGGTCTGTTGCAACAAAACACTCACAATGGTCTTGTGGTCCCTTTCAGCAACCGGCCACCTTCTTAGTCTGATGGGCTTCCATCATCAACCAGTCAGCTATCAATTGATGGTCAGGACATCTGAACA